TTGTCCTCCTCTTAAACCATCTGACACACATCCTCCTTCCTTTCCTTCCTCCTGCTGCTCATCTTCACTCATCCCTCTTCCTTTTTTCCTCCAGACTCCCTGTGTTTTCTGGCAGCAGCCTGAAAAGGCGCAGAAAAAGATTTCCAGGGCTTGAAAGGAAAAGAATATTTAGGAGCAGATGATTGTTGTTGGCAGATAGTTGACGATGAACGTATAGTATCAACATATTATATTATGGGGCATTTATGTGTCTGATTCAGTTACGGCTGATGGACCTTGTCACCTCTGGTGTCCATTGAAAAGAACGGTATAAAACGCCACCAAACTAATACAAAAACCCAGACGGGGTTGTCGTTGTCTGCAGCACATTAAGACGATTGAACTTTATTAGATCTTGGGTCTAACTTCCATAGTTTTATGCACTTTTAGCACTAATGTTGTGAAACACTGGTGATTAAAATACAGAGCAAGGAAACTGATTCTCATCTGGGTTCAGCTTCCTTCTCTTCCACATTAAAGAGAAACCCAGAACCTTCCTCCATATCCCTACAGTTGAAGCTTGAGATCGAAGGCCACACCAGCTGGAGGAGCTTACCTTATGAACTTGAGGTCAGGCCCCACGTGTCTGCTGAAGGGACCTCATTAAAACTGTTGTCTGATCTCTGGATGTGTGCTGACTGGACAGAGGAGCGAAGGATGTGACTGAGATACTGAATTGGTATGAGCAGCCTGCAAAAGTGTAGGCATGTAAACAAGCAAATGGCCAGTGGGTTAGAGGTTGATGAGCTTTTGATGAAGATACAGGATGGTACGTTTTTAGTAATCCAATGGCACTTGGCAGATTTCCACAGCTGGAACCTGACAAGCTGTAATCCCGAGCCACCTTACGGATGGTACGTTTTAGCAGTCGTAAAATCAAATGTATTTGTCTTGAGGCAGTAGCATATGATGATCAAAACAAACAAGAGCATGACTGAATGGTCTTTTTTGCATTTTACACTTGGCAGATTTCCACAGCTGGAACTTGACAAGCTGTAATCCCGAGCCACCTTATACTGGTGGAACTTGAAGAGCTGATGAGTTTGGTTCTGGTTTGTTTCTCCACTGTATTTTCTCTGTGTCAGTCACAGTTTACATAAGATTTATCAAAGGTTCTCTTCCAAAGCTGGCAGAGGACATTGGAAACAAAAGCAGAACCTGGAACAAGGGTTCAGTTACGGGTTGGTAAGTTCTTGCAGTGGAGACGGCCCAACTGTGTACCACTGAAGGATTGTGTTACATCACATCAAATGGTAGAGGGTTACGGCAAATAGATTTAACACCAACAGCTTCTGGTAACAAATGGTGAAAGCAAAACACTCCTGTTATAGCACTGTTAATTGATTTCTCTTGGCCACAGTGGGAAGTAGAACACACTATAAACATTGTGAGATTATTATTTTATGAGGTTTAGAAGGAGAAGAAGCTTTATTTTATTGTAACATTGTGACACGTACAACGAAATTTTGTTTGGAGTTGAGGGCCCCAGGCCGCTGCGTGCACATGCGCCGCCACCACCGACAACTTGGGGGGTTCAGCGTCTTGCCCAAGGACACTTTGACACGTGGACTGCAGGCACAGAGATTCAAACCTTCAACCTTGTGGTTGGGAGACGACTGCTCTACCCACTGCACCACTGTCGCCTCCCTTATGTATATCTTTGCTTCATGAGCCAAAGCAACCTCAGACGTAATATAAAACAAAGCTTCTCCTGGAAGTACAAACCTTGAGTACAGCTGTCAAAGGTTGGTCTTAAACTCTGCTCTGAAACCAACATGGATGGCCTTTCAGCCCCCAGGTCCTCCAGGCTTTTCCATGATAAGGGATCCCACACGGAGGCTTGATGAATCACAGTAGCAGAGGTGGATTATGGTGCTAGTCATGGGAAAAGTCGGATGACAGAGGGATTATATCACGTTTGACTGGAATGTGGAGTCACCAGAGAGGTGTTAACAGAGTGTCAGTGACTACATTATCTATGTCCATGCCTTTAAAAGGTCTTGGAAAAGCTTGTGTTGAAGTTTTAGACCTCTTTTTTCAGTAGTAAGCAGAGGGAAACAATATTAGCTTCGATGGAAGAGAAGACTCTCAGCAGTTACTGCTCAGTCAAGGTTTCTCTGCAATGAGCGAGATAGTTTGAATCATCTGAAGGTTGGATTTGTGACGTCCTCCTTTAAGACTGAAGCACCAAAACTAGAATGTAATGGGACAAAATGAATGTCTTATATAGTGTGGATGAAAAGCTCATCATTGTTATTTAATGTTTAATTTTCTGTTTACATTTCTTAAAATCTGATATGGTGAAAACTCAGACATTGTTTTAATGTTAATCAAATAAATAATGTACCAGCGGCATTGCACCGTTAGTCCAACAGCTTCATAAAGCAGCAGACAGCTATGTTACCTGTTTCATTTCCATTCTGTCACTCCTGTTTTCCTTTGTGTGCACGTTGGCCAGGTGTGCGCATGTGTCTGTGCCTCTTTTCTGAACAAAACAACCAGGGAAGACGATGATATCATCTTTTATCCGTTGTGGGGGGGGGGGAAGTCTGAGCTCTGAGGTCACCTTTCTCTCACACATATAGAGGGCGCACACACACACACACACACACACACACACACACACACACAGGAAATGTTTATCATTGAACTGAGTCATTGAAAAAGGTCTGACTCAATGGGCACTAGGCTTCATGTACTTTTTGTGTGCAAGTTGTTAGTTCTGAAGTGTGTGTATGTGTTTTGTTTTCTTACCACATCAGAAACGGCATCTGTGTGTGTGTGTGTGTGTGTGTGTGTGTGTGTGTGTGTGTGTGTGTGTGTGGTGTCTCTTTGAAGCGGGTGACTGCACACACACACACACACACACACACACAGGTCCACTGCTTTCCCATTAACAAGCCACAGGTGAAGGATGACAAACTGAGTCCTTTGGCCATTTCTAGGGTTGGTGTTTGGTTACAGTCTGGATTTGGTTCATAACTTTTAAATGTGCACCAGATGCTGCTCAGAAGAGCTTCAGAACAGACTTACTTACATATACATATATAGCCTTGACATATTATCAGCTTCAAAGGTTATTGTGCCTAATCCATTATTGTCTATTGACACATCCAGCAGGCACAGGGCAGCACTGTCATAAACGTGTCCAGTGTTCCATCCTCTATTGAATCTAGCTTGTCCTCCTTCATCTCCTTTGGCTGCTCAATGCTCCAGCTAGCTGCTAACTCTCTTCATTGGTGGCTTTGTCCTAAATGTAAAGTTATTTAGTACTTATATAACTTTAAATAGTTCTGAATTTGAAAGGATTTGGTTTCAATAAGATGAGATAAAATGCCACTGAACTCTACTGTACGTGTTAATACTGCAGCATTTTAACATTTAAGAAGCGTCAGACAAACCTTTTCTCAAATGGAGAGTTGCTTTTGTTATTTTATTGTTAAATGTGTCTCTGAAGAAATACGCTGTTCACCTACACAAGAACACATTTCTTGTTGTAATATGCCTTTAATCTGGTCCAGTTTTAAATATGAGTTTTCCATTAATATTCCTCCAGTTAGACACCAGCACAGATTTGCTTACTTTGCTTTCTCCACCAGCGTCGACCTTTTTGCCGACCTCACCTCTACACACATGCACACGTCCCCTGTGGCTAAACCAAAACGGGTTAATCCCATATCACTCAGTGTTTGGGAACAGAGGCTGGTGGCTCAGGTGTCTGTCCTGTTTAACACAAAGGAAAAGTTATGTGGCTGTTCAGATGCACAACACACAGACACGATGCAGAAAAGTGAGCCGACATAAAGGTTTACACAGACTTAGACTCATATTTTCCCCTGTTTGCCTCCAGTTTTTTGTCTGTGGAAACATCTGATAGTATTGTTGATTGAAGAAATGCAGCTATGTTTGCCTGAATAGTAGTGAACCCCTGACACTTTAACTTCAGACTCCTACTAGCTCCTAGATATTTTTAAGGCAAATCAATCCTGCACGGCACTCTGCAAATTTGTTTAAGTTGTTTTTGTGTGTTGTCTACACAACCACAAGGTTCATGACTCAAACCCAGTGGCTCCATGCTACAGTAGCTTCCACCACACGTACAGTATCTATTGTTAGCATGTAGTTTCTTTATAGCTCACTTGGGTCCTCTGGTCTGTTTTCACATCTGTTTGGGTTGAATTTCACAAAATAAGGTTCTTGACAACAGGGCTGTTCTGTTTGTGGTTCTTTGTTTAGCGTTTTACTTATGTCAGTAACGGTATCTTTAAACTTGATGGCCCTAGCTAATGTAGAAGGAAACTGCATCCACATGAACTCAGCTGCTTGTATTATTTATATTCTTTCATTTATGGTGTGCTTTTATTCTGAAATTATAAATGGGATCATTATGCAGATAGTATTGTACAGGCTAAATACACGCATACCGTTTATCACTGCCGCTAGTGTTCACATACAGTTTCCTGCCTTCATGTCTTATTAACTTAAATTTTCAATGTTCAGTCTGTACCTGAAATTGAAGAGAGCTGTGCTTTAACTTCTTGCACCAGTCCAGATTCAGAAAACTGTGCTCGGTCTGTTAAGGAAAGCTGAACGTTTGGCTCATCGCCTGTGATCCTTCATGCTTGTTGTAGAGGCAAACAACTTGTAATGAATGTGGATGTTGTTTTATGGCCAGGTGAATCGTCCTGTGTGTTCACTCAGCCTTTGAATCTGCAAAGCGTCTTGGTTTCCCACCAGCAGTTTGCACGGCCATGTGCTTGTCTTTGCTGGAAATCGGTTACAGTCAGACTTCTTTCATCAAAACTGAAAACAGAAGAGGATCATGGGTATTGTCACATTGTGCTCTATAACTGAACCTGAACAGTAGAAACAGATCAGTGACCGTGATGCCGTGCATGATGCATAAAGGGAAAACAGTTGGTCTTTTCCTCATGCCGTCTCTCTTCTGCTTTTCTCTACAGGGTCGACATGTCAAGACAGGACAACTGGCGGCCATCAAGGTCATGGACGTCACTGAGGTCAGTAAACATCAGCTGATGTACGCCTTTACTGTTTGTTGTTAATAAACCGATTTCCCTCCAAATTTAACTGAGATTTTAAGGGATTTTTCAGAAACTATGCTAATCACTGTGTTTACATCCTCTACTCTTACATTAGGAGTTGAGAGTATTGAAATAAACGGCCGGTAGCCCCGATTGTCCAGTGGCGTGGCAGTGAGCCGCTGCAGTGAGGTGTCTTAATAAAGAGTGCCAGCTATATGTGCAAACATGGCATCTGTGTATTTCACATATTAAAGTCACATGCTTCATGTTTGTAGTGACTTATCTGTTTTCATTGATGCTTTAACCAATGCACCAACTTTCCATGTCAAAAAAACTTTTTTGCAATAGTTAGTTTTTTCATTTTAGGTTAAATTTGAAAATGTGCATAAAAACAGGTGGATGGAAGTTTAGTTGTTGTTATTGTTGTCTGAGTTCTTTCTTTTTGTATTAACAGTAAATAGCAAACAGACACGTGTATACCAAAACAATTCACCTTCTTTACAGGTCAAGGTCATAATAAAATAAAATAATCATGTGTTTAGCAGTAATCATACAGAGTTAATAGATGAATGTCTGGCATTATGCATCCTTGTTGTTCATGCTTTAGTAAGGACCCAAAACGCTGTGTAATTGGCGCCTGTGTCTATTTGTGGGTATACATGCACAAATGTCTTGATAGTCTCATAAAAAAGCTGTTAATAATAGGTGTGAGTGCTTTTTGTGCCTTTCATCTTTCTCCTCACAGAATGAAATAATGACTGAGACGATGAGAAAAATATTCACAACACGTATTTGAGGTCACTTGATCATTTCCTGCCCAGACGCCTTAAAGAGGAATGAGTCATCAAGGCTGTCACATGAAATCCTTTAAGCTGGGTTAACGGTTGTACTGAAGAGGATTGGACTGTCTGTCTGTTTAGGACCCTGCTGGTTTTAACTAGATCTTTAAATCTTCACCCAAAGTCCGGTTTTTGGCAGCCACAGTGTTTCCCCATAGGTTTTCTGTGGTATTAACACCACCTTTGTCTGTATTTGACATCATGATGGGACATAAGGAAATCCAGGGGCTTCTTGTTTAATAAGTTGAATGGTGCAGTGTCATTATTGTTTAAAGATAAGAAAGCTTATGTTCCCCTCCTGGCAATAAAAACCCAATGAACTTAACAGAACGTGTTGGCAGCATATTTTGAGTAGGGTTTTGTACTCAGATTTTATTTTTAGACTGCTAGATATTTGCTTCCTCTGCAGTCTTTTGGCCTTTTTCACACCCCTGTGGCTGCAGCCTGACACACCCTGAAAGGAAAAACTGACCATAGCAGTTTGAGTCTGTTGGAGAAATCAGTCCTTTATGAAACCGTCAGCCTCGTACTGTGTGTCCTAAGTAGAAGACAAACACCTTACAGGGCTTGTGTTTACTAGACTAACGCGTCTTAAAATCACTGTAACTGGAACACACACACAGTTGATATCCAGTCCAACCATATCAGCAAACATGAAGCGTGTGGATAAGTCATCTTGATCAATAATGTAATTCCCTTCTCATTGTATGAATCAGTTTTACAATCTGAGTTCACACAGTTGGACTCGAGGAGGAAAGGAGAGAAGTGGCAGCTGGGAAACGTGGGCGTTACAATGATGAAGCCCTTTGTTGAATATAAGGCTCAAACACTGAGTATTGATTAGTCATATCCATTTTTCCGTTTTCATGATGTGCTAATGCTGAGTCATCAACATGGGTTTCATTTGAAGATTTTACTAACTAAAATATTTAAATAACTGGTTATTAGTTGGTTTACCTTTGCCAGACCTGCTTTGAAAAATGCATGTGATGTGGGAGTGAACCTCTTACTGTGGGCTGCAGGCACAAATCTCCATTTCCCCCTGTGGAGAGGCATGAAGTAGGGTTGGCAGTGTTGGATGGGGATTTTATCTGAAGAGGGATACACATGTTGGGAACATTCAAGGCCTCTCACCAAATTTTAAAGCAGCCCTTTTCTACACACTGCTGCTATTTTGTTACATAAACACATTGTTTGTCTGGATGTTTGCCAAGAATGAGCAGATGGCGCACTGGAAAAGCCTGAGGTTTGAACATGTACACAATCATCAGTAATATTTGTTTTTGCCTGTTTGTGTAAAACTACACAGCTACAGTATAAATCTCCATGTCATTATATGTGTACACTTCTCGTGCTCTGATCACAACTTCCCGTTCTAAAGGCAGACTGGGAGAGGGATGCTGAGGAGAGAGAAGGATGGACAGAGGATGATGAGTGAAGTGTGGGTTGAGGGCCGGGCAGTATAGCAACCTACAGTTACCTGTACACACTGGGAAAATGTAGGACTGAATCTTTAATGGAACGTTTTGTGCGTGCGTGTAACACCCTTCTGTGTGAGTCCATGGGGACGTACATATCCCAGTGTTGGTTCTTGGCTTTACTTCTGCCTGAGGGCCTCGCTCCAAGCCTGTTGCAGGGGATTGGTCTAATTGCTGCTGTTCGATGTTGGACTGGTGGTGCTTCATGCGATAAGCTAAGATTGTGTGGGTGCATGTGTCGGCCAGAGACGGCATGGTGTCATGTGTCAGACATTAAGTTGCTGAAATAGGAAATACTTTAATTTCTTGGAGTGGATGAATATTTTGGGCTGTAAGAGGAGAAGAAGGGAGGGCAGGGTCTGAGCTAGTGAAGCCTTAGAGAGACAGTGATGAGGAGGAGTAATCAGGGAGCCGTCCCCCCCCCCCCCCTTTGCCCTCTTGGGAAGGCCGTCCTGTGGT